CAAGGGCTGAGGCACAGTCCCCGAGTATTCCTAGGGAGCAGAGGCTACTCAGATGTCTACACACAAGCAGCTTTCTCTTGGCTGTGTTTCACCTCATGACTTGCCCTAACGAAGGGGTTACCCTGGCACCTACAGGAGACTCCAGGTCCTGCACTGCATGCCCAGGGGAGATCATGTTTCTGTAGTCTCCATGTCATGGGGTTTCCTCTGGAAAAAGGAGACCAGTCTCCTATCAGAGCAGATTCGTGCATAGGACCTTATTCTCCAAAACGGAGCAGCCAAACCAATGAGTTGGTGAGGGCAGCCATGAATTAACACGTAGGCAGAAAGACTCATGCTATATTTAAGAGTCTCAGCCCCTTAGACCTTTAGACACTTCTTCACTTCTGCTGGTGGCTAATTGTTAGCTTCGGTCATCTGCGCCACAATAGGCAAACTAAAAAAGTACAACTAGCGGTAAAAATGGGATTTAATCTTGACAACAACTGGTCCGTTCAAACTGAAAGCTTTCAAGGGGACAAACAAAACAAACTGAGTAAGACGTATCCGACGCAAAACCAAAGAAATTGTGACTTATATACTGCAGGCTTGCCAGATGCTACAGAAGATGAGTCAGAGGACAGAGTAACGTAAAAAAAGTAAAATATAACCTGATACTGAACTGCACCTTGTGATGTTTCTCCAAAACTCCTGATACGTTCAGTCTAGAAAGTGGCCTGTTTGTTTTTGACATATTGTATCTAGTTTGTTCCTAACGAACCAGCAGTCAAAATTTGGCCCAATGTTTTATTGTCAGCATATTCTCACACACTTAAGTGTGCCTGCTGGATGGATACAGTTTTTGGGTTTTTCTCCTAAATGAGCTAATTTTACAAAATTAGTATTTCTCTGATATTTATTTTTCCACATTGACAAGATCAGCTTATTCAATGCTGCCTTCACTTACAAAGTCTAAATAATATGAATTACAACTTAGCTTTTTCTTCAACAGTGCCATCGAAAATTATACAAGAACAAGATGTTTGGGTTTTGTTGGTCTTGTTCCTCTGGAAATCAGCAGAAAAGCTGTTAAATACTACATATACTAGAATACTGATTTTAATAATACTCAACGTGCACATCAGTTTCATTGTCAGAAACACTTTAAATCTCTGTATGTTACTAATAACTGAAGAGCATTATTCAGCTTTATAATGTAGTATGCATTGTCCTTCATATATATTCCTGAAGCAGGATGTATGCTGTACATTTATATACAATGTTGGTCAGAGCACAGACATTGCAGTGTCATGCTTTCATTCAAATTTCAGATGCCATATGTTCAGTACAATCGCATGGCATCAAAATGCAACATATTGCTTTGCAAACGCAAATAATTTCACACGCTGGTGGTCTTCATGACTGGGAAGGGCTAATGAAATGGGACGTATTTTACACATATGAAAAAATAAATAAAAGATTTATCATAAATATATGGACCAGTATATGACGTTGAAGAACAAGAAGCAAAAAGGAAACAGTGCTCTCGCATAAAGATCGATTCTCTTTGCGGCTGATGGAATGACAGGCTTGGGAGGAGGAGGCTTCTTGTTGTTCTTGGCTTGAGATTTCCCGAGCCCATTGTTGACTTCAATGGGCTTCCCATAACAGTCATAATTCGATAATTCAAAATCCCTTGGCAAGCTTCCAACGATGCTGAAATCATTGGATCTCAGATCAGATTTCGAAGTGCAAACTTTTTTGCATCTGGTCTCACCAACCTATGAAATGAAGAGTGAGGGGAATGATGATCTACTCACCATATTTCATTAACAAACTTAATGCAGCTGCTAGAGAACACTGCAAACAAACATATAGGAAATTACTTGTTGATAGGGATACATTACATCAGCCCAATTTGCTGAATGGTTGCGTTATAAAGTACTTAAGGATGATAAGTCAATCATATAAACTAATCCAAACATTCATAATTGTGTAATTTTTCATGCACAAGGTGCCTCATGCTGTGCAACCTGCTATAGTTACACTCCTTCATTTTAAGATGATGGAAGGGGAGAGAATATTTCTGTAGAGCGTATTTTGGGAAATCGATTCTGTGCTGATGAACCTGCAGGACAGATACTATTCAATACTTACATTGTTCTGAGGCCTGGAAGCTACAGTCAGAATTAACCCTAAAATTCAGTGTTTGATGCAACAAAGTCTATTCTGGCTCCACACAGTAGCTGGCTCAAGATCCTACATCTCATCCTAGGGTTATCCCCTTGCACTGCTAGAAGGCACTTTCTTTGCACCTGCAGTCTTTGGTGCCACTCTGCAGACACGTAACAAAGATGCGACACCACTCCCAGCGCTTCCCGTCGGTACACTGGAGAACTGGGCGACTGGGAAATCTAAATCCAGCAGCTGAATACCTGTCTTTCCTACCGCGTTGTCAGTGCTCTTGGGGATCAAGTACTACTGTGCCATGGGGTAACCCCAGGTGAATGATTCTCTTTTCAGAGACCAATCGTTCTGGCACATACAATGAACCTTTAAAAGGAAAAAAGTATTTGGTGCCCTTCAAACTTAAGTGTTCGGGGTGTGTGTGGGGGGAAACATTTCTACATTTGCTTCCTTGGATTTTATAAAGTTTGTATTTCAGGTACAAGAAATCTCTAGGAGGAGCACACCCACACTGCTCAGGGAGCTTGAGGAGACCACTTGCAAGGCTTGCAGCTTGGGTAATTCTCTCCCAAAGTTTCATTTCAGTTGGACTACACAGTAAAGCGGGGGGAGGGGGGGAAATACAAGTTATGAAATTTAACTACATTATTAATAATGCCATTTGTTCACATGTATAACCTGAGAGTTAGCTGGGAAAAACGCTGCATCACAAATCAGGTTAATATGCACGGGCAACTGGCATTACCGTAAGTTTCACTAGGGCTTTCTGCAGCCACAGATACACTAAAATTTGGTTCTTCCAAAAGCTGCCCATCCCCCCTTCCCAGCAGCCTATCTCTCCTCCACAAAGCCTTCAGGCATTTTACTCTCAGCTCTCTCCACCTCTGAGTTTTCTTTAGTCTCAGGATGATGGTTCAGGATATTCACTCATCACATTTTGTAATTAAAATAATAACAGTGAAATACAGTACCAGACTTACAGATGAATGAGAAACATTCTAGAGAACATTATTAGCTTCTTTGTGACAACTGTCAAGGTATCCTGGATGAAAAGAGTCGTGGCAGTCAGGAAGAGACCTAAACTTTGACTGGAGCTTTTACTCCAACTACTGGCAAGGCTGATTCTTGTGCAGGATGGAAGAGAAGCATGGCACCCTTCCCTCAGCCAGGAGTGGAAAACATCCCCAGATTTGCCAGACTAGTATTTCTCAGGAAAACAGTAAATTCTGAAACCAATACACTAAAACTGAGGTGCAGCTTACATAACAAAACCAAGCTCACAGGTCGTAAAAAAGAAAAACAAGATAGGTGTTCCCTGATGGCAAGGCAAAACTACATATATAAATTTCCTGCAACTGCTTCCCAGTCATCAAAGAGCTGACAGTCTGGGACAGTGTCCAGTATTGGAGTAGCAGGGGCAAACTGTCCAGTAAGGCGGTGACTGAGAGACGTATGAACACGATTATGTGACCCTGGGTGACACAGGGGCTGTCACTCAGTGATCCGAGAGGTTCCTTCCAATCGGATCATACCCAAAGATGTGGGTAATAAAGGTAGAAAGGACACCCTTGTGCAATGCAGGGGTAATTTGCAGGACTGGGGTACACGTTAACTGGAGATTCATAGGAATATTACACTTTTTCCCATGGTCAAAACTAGTAAGATTTAGTAAGGCCATTACAAGAAATAGAATCATGTATGAAATTATAAGCCTCCTTCTGGATTTGCAGACTTGTCCATTCCTCTTACTACCAGCAATATACTGTAGAACTCAGTGACACTAATTGTAGCCTAAGCACTCCTGTCTACCACACTGAATATTCCTGTTCCAACTGCAGTATGTAGAGGGTGGTCCCTAAAGGCTGCTACACGCTGGTTCTCATTCCCTCGTGGGACAGAGCACTGAGAGAATGGCTTCTAGGTCACCTCTGCCTTGTCAGCAGAGGGCTGTTCGCAGCACCTTCACACTGAGCTCTGCTTAGTTTAGTGTCAGCTGTAGTTCGGCTCTATCAGGGTGACACGATTTCCCTTGTACGAGCAACCTGACCCAAATTTCTCTTCAGTAAGTGTATGTTATTTTTAAAAATAATTTCTTTAATTTCCCTGGCTTTACAAATCTAATGTGCTTCTATTTTCTACATTCAGTTCCTGACTACATATGCTTTTAAATTTCTTCTCATACATCCCTTCAACTCTCCAATATTTCTGTTGTTTTACTCTAAATGCGCTTCAGTTGACCTACAGCTTTCCCTAAAAATATGAGATCATATATTAAAAGCAGTTTATCTGCTTTTTATTCATCCTGTCTTGGCATGTACTAGGGGTAGAGATGTTCCTGACACTTCCCAAAGGCTACAGGAACCGTTTCTGTGGAAAACAATACCAGAGGACTTGATCTTAGAGTACCGCACTGATGACTTGTAAAGAAAGTAAAACACTGTTAAATGTTTTATCTGTTTGATATCATCCTGACACAGAACTTGGCCTTGGAACATATTTGACATCATTTGCCTTATCCTGCCCCAGCATCACGACCCGTGGGCCAGCCCCAGCCCACAGGATACTTCCACCAGATCTACAGCTCTTCCCCCACTAGGGATGGGGAGCAGCTCTTCGGGCAGGGAAGGCTGCCAGAATAGCGCTGCAGGCTCCCCACATCGCCAGCGAGCTTGGGTCGCTGCTCCTCGTCCCTCCAGCACGGAGGCGGGGGGCTGAGGAGGGCATGGGCAGGTGACATGGTGCTGGGGGCTTGGCCCAGCACACAGACCCTGCTCCTGTTTCTCCCAGGACTTGGCCACCTTGCCTAGATTTGGTATGTTGGACAGGACACCTGCCTTTCGATGAACAGCTCAGCAATGCCTAAAAATGACTCCTAGAAGCCAGAAGGCCCCTTGCGATGAACTTTTCTCACCTTTTATGAAATTCAGGCTGATGGGTGTGCACTGCCAAGCTCAGCACCTGCTGCTGTCCTGGATGCTGTGGTGTCCAGAGCTGTGCCGTGTGTGCCACCACAGCCAGGCCATACCCAGCTCAGAAAGCCTTCGTTTGTGGGGCTAGGGGAATAATGTGACAGGAAAGTGGGAAAAGAGCAGAAGAAAGCAGAAGTGCTGCCTGTGCACACAGACTGGCAGGGAGGGGGAAGCAGCTCCCCACCACTGCCTCTGCTGCTTCTGATGCTCCTCATCACTCTCCACATTCACTGCCCAAACTACTTATACCAGATGTTCCTTTAAAAACATCCAGGATGAAGACCTTTTTCCATGACCTTTTTACTCACAAACATATGTACCTTATTTCTAACCTGAAATTATTTGGCTTCAGTTTTCAGTCATGAGGCATGACTATAGTTAGTCTGATTAACTGCTGGTACTTACAGATGGTAACAAATCTAACCTTGATTTTGCATAATTCAGATGATGTAACCAGGCTGGCATATGTAGCCAAGTCAAATGTTCTTCAGTTTCTTACCTCCACATCATTACCTCTGTCAACCTAATTGATCATCTTTTAAAAAATTATATTCAGTTTGATTAAATCAATAAATACACAGATCAGCTTTAATTTTGCTGACCCATTCAAATTTATTAGCTAACATAGGGTTGAACGATGAATAATATTAATGATAATTAATACTTATGAATAGTAATTATTAGTCATCCCCCTGTTAGCTATGCAGTATTTTCCACTGATTGATATGAGGCTTATAATTATTCATGTTATGCCACTTATCCTTTAAAAGTACTGGCACGATGTTAGCTTCTTGCTGTCTTTTGGAACCCTCACAGTTGCAAAGGATTTATTAAAAAATCAATATTAATGTTCCACAGCACTCATGGACCAGCTCTTTAAAAAATCCTAGGTGCAACTTAAACTGAAATCTTGATTGTAAAATGTCTAACTTTAATAGCTGCTGCTGAACATCCTCATTAGCTACTGTCAATGAAAGCCATTCCATCATCTGATTGAATATATCTGGCTTTCCCCCAAACACAAAGCAGAATATTTGTTCAACACTTTCGCCTTTTCTGCTAATTCTTGATACTTGCAGCATCTCTGTCTAGTGTCGGACCTGTACTCTTGTTACCAGTTTTTGTATTCTTCCTACAAGTGTAAAGTAACTTCCTATTGCCCTCAACTATGCAAACCATAGATCCCTTTTGTTATCTACACCTATTAACTACACCTATTTTCTGGATTTCAGCTCATATTAATTGCTATTAACTTCTCCATTTGCCAGTGAGAAGAAAAGAGAAATGCTTGAAGATGAGTTAGTTTCTAATCTTTGGGGTGTTTGTTTTCAATTGCACTGTTTGTTAGGGGTTTCTTTTTAATTAGTATAGCTTCCCTTCTGGTCTGTAGCTGTTTTGAACATTGTTAGACACCTTACCAGCATCATTGATTTTTTTTTTTGTTTAAATTCTTCCACCCAGATGAGAAGAAATAGTTTTCAAATTTGTGATATCTGTCCTTTCACAGCACCAAAAATACTAGGAGTCAACTAAATTTGTTTTGTGCAAATAGAATAGAGACCATTTTCAATGGACTGTTCATCCTGTGATCAAGTCCTCATCTGTCAGGATGAAGCATAATATAA